AGAGAGAGAGAGAGAGAGAGAGAGAGAGAGAGAGAGAGAGAGAGAGAGAGAGAGAGAGAGAGAGAGAGAGAGAGAGAGAGAGAGAGAGAGAGAGATGTTGCTACTTCGATATGTGCATATATCATACTGATGGACCTAGTTTCCTTGCTGAAGGTCGTTTGTGCCTCAGAAAGACAAGATGGCAGGGTTTTTTGTTTTTGACAATGATTCTGCTTTTTTGGGTCATTGTTTCAGGTCGGAAGGCAGAGGTGGATTTGGAGAACAAGGTGGCGTCGAAGAGGTTTCGGCTCAGAGTGGAAGAATGGATAAAGGCCATCAGGAAAATGGTGGGAGAATCAGTTGCGGAACAGCAGAAGGGTTTGACAGACATGGAACGACATATGGGGGAATTCGTCATCAGAAAGGAGGCTGTAAGTATGTCTTTGAATTATTAGCATGGTGCCTTGCTGCAAGGAGCCGTCAGTGAGAACACATTCTCAGCAGCAAATACTCAAAGCCGAACCAGCAGATATGAGCAAAGTTGAAAGTGGAAATACAAAGCCAAGGACACAGCAGACGAGCACACAGTGACACTGAAGTCTCTTGATAAAGAAAGCCCGACTTCTTGCCTCCTCTCATCAGTACAATAATCTGAGAGAAAGAATATTACCAATTTACCATATTCATATTCCTTATCAGAATTGAAAGAGTTCAAATTCAATTCTGATTTCTCGAACAAAAATAAGCAAATAAACAATATAGATGAAGTTATCTTAGGAGATACTATTTATCAGACCCCTCTATTTACTAAAAATTAAGGTTGTATACAGGGTCACCAGCCCGAATGCACGGTGGTCCCCGGGCGTTAGCGGTCCCGGTCGGGGTCCGAACCTGACGGCGTTCGGCCCCCGCCAAAAAATATTTTGGGGCCCTAAAAATAAGTTTTATTTTCTGATTTTTTTTGTGAGTTCTCAATGATGCGAGGTACATGCCTATAAATTTTGAAGTCATTTTGCTAAGCCAAACCAAAATTAAAAATCGCCAAAGATGGCGGTGTCAAAACGTGCTCGCCCACTCACCATTTTGTTGTTTTTCACTTTTTTCTTTTTGTTTTCACTTTACTGAGGGGCTTAAACAATTTTATTGTTTTTTGAAACTTTTTGAATGAGTTTTTTATTATGTGGAGTACACATCTGTAAATTTCAGGGCATTTGGCTGTGCCAAGAAAAAATTACAAATCGCCAAACGTGGCGGTGTCGAGAACGTGCTCGCTCACTCACTAATTTTAATTCTCTTTTCCAGGTTTCCTTCGTTTTATTTTCTTTATTTTATTTTTAATTCAAATTTGGTAACGAATTTGGATGTAATACTCAGGCAAATGCTGTTTAATTTATTTTTCTTCATAACATATCTTTTTTTAAGATTTTTGTGATTGAAATGAAAATATTACCGAATTTGGGAACTGAATTAGGTCAGGTTATATCTCTATTCCATAAAAAAATCATGTTAAGAATGGGCAAACCTTTTTTAGCAACCCGTGGAGCTATTGTATTTTTTTATTTTTTTATTTTTTTATTTTTTTATTTTTTTTTTTCTGGGGAGCGGCAGTCCGGTTCCTATTCCACCGGCAAGTCAGAATAAACATTACAATAAGCATACAACTCCCACGCTTCCTTCCGTCTGGCCGAAGGATCCCTGATCACCATTGATTGCTCCACCTTGATGGAGGATTGACTGTCAGCTTGCCATGCCTCACTCTTTCCTCTCATCTCTGAAAACCAGATCTGTCAGATACAAACCTGTTACCTAGAAAGAGTCCTTGTTTGACCAAGCTAGCCTTTATACTTAACCGTTCTGCCCGTGATTCACTATACCCCCTATCCCCCCTTACCTTTCCTCCTTTTATGTCTCTCCTGCCCGGCCGCTTCCTCTTTTTCTGTTTGTTCCTCTCTCCTCCTTCTCCCTTCTTCCTTCTCCATTCTTCCTTCTCCACCTCTCCTGTGGCCCTTTAGTTTATCTGATCCCATCTCTGGTCTGTTCCTTAAGCCCCATTTCTCGAAAAACCCTGAACCCTAAACCCTAAACCCTCGTCAGATGATACAAAACTTCCCAGACCGGCCAACATCCTCAACTTTCATCAGGCTTCTATGGCACCCTTACTCCTGTCTTGGCCATTCATTCTTAGGTGCCTAAACGTGAAACATCTTGTCTCTCGGCAGTTGTCCCTTGTTGGTGGCTCCTTCCTGGGATTGAATTGTGCCAATCTTTCCAGTGAATGTGATCTTCTCATACCTCTGCAACCTTCCCGTTTATCAACCAGTTTTTGCTGAAGGTCGATCTCTCCTTCCTTCGTTGTTCGTCGTCCTCTGTCCACGCCTGTTTGGTCTTCCATCTGCAGAGAATTTCGGCTTGTATCATCACTTTTGCCTCTATCCACACTTTTTCGCGTGAGTTGGACAGTCCTTCAATCGTTCTGCTGCATCTTTCCTTCCATATGACCCATAGTGTGGTCTTTCTGATGAGACCGAACCAAATTTTCTCAGTCCTTTGGAACTGTTGAGGGATGTTAGTCAAGAGGAGAAGTTGGAGGGGGTGTTCGGGAAAGGGAGTTGAGAAAAGGAAGTTCCAGAGTGTTGATGCTTTTGCCCAGTATTCTGTCGCCTCTCTACAATGGATTAGGCAGTGGATCATGTTCTCTATCGCCCCATTATTACAGATCATGCATAATTCTGAGCTGTTAGGGTCTGAATGTTTATGCCTCTTGTGTAGCCATTGGCTCACTGGTAATGCTGCGTAGGTGATTAGCCATTGTAGACTTCGGATTTTGATTGGCCTGGCGAGTTTGAATTTTTTCCACTGAATCTGAGTGATTTTGTCTGCCTCTTGACCCAGTAGATCGTGCCATCTTCTTTTGATGATAGGGTCAGGGTCCTTGGTTTTCAGTGATAGTCTGTACCCTAGTTTAACTGTATAATCTTGAATTGGGATTTTAGTTTTGATATTTTTAGTTTTGTCCGGTGTCCATGCCCACTCCGCTGGATCAAATTCTAAGTTGTGGATTGCTGTGTCCGGTCTGAAAATTAATTTGGGCCATGAGCCGAGAACTCTTATCTTTCTGAGAAGGAAAGAACCCGTGGAGCTATTGTACATTCTAGAAATGGAGAACGAGTAACCAAGGAGATACCCGTATGACTCTTATCTATGAAAGACTAAAGGCAGGCGATATTATACAAGGATTACCAAAAATTGAACAGCTTTTAGAAGCACGACGTGAAAATATAGTAGAGATAATTATCAATAGATACGTTTTAGACTGTAAAAAATTATTCACAGAAGAATAAGGAATGCAGAAAGCAGAAAGCACAATGTACCGATATACCAGCCAAATAATTATCAATAGTTGTGTACCAAGCGGAAAGCACAATGCAGCGATATACCAGCCAAATAAGAGAAATACAATGAACTCAAATGTCCAGTTGGCACTCTCTTGCCACATAAGCATAGTATCTAATGTTGCTCTTTCAGATTGGCGCTCTGCGCCCAGCCCATCCTACTCAGTCTATCTAGCCTACACCACGTTCATCCAACAGGAGTCACATCGAGCTGAAGACCAATGTACGTGACGACGTCGCCGATGCAGACTGCCAGCATACACAAGATGCGTGCCTCTTCTCTCTCCCACCTCACCCCTATCTAGTCTACACCATGTTCATGCAACAGGAGTCACATCGAGCTGAAGACCAATGTACGTGACGACGTCACCGATGCAGACTGCCAGCATACACAAGATGCCTGCCTCTTCTCTCTCCCACCTCAACCCTGTCTTCCCCCACAGTGTGCTCCCCTTCACCCGAAGACCACCATCGCCCTCCAGCATGCGGCCCAGCAGCCCGGCTATGGCCTTCGTGCACCCGCTGCCACCGCAGTGCCCCTCTCACCTCTTGCGCCTGTGTGCGCCCTCTGGCCAGCTCTAGCACAGGGCACTCGCTTGACAATGCAGCAGCCTGGCCGCTCTGCCTGCTCAGGCCAGAATGTCCCCTTGCCTGTGTGCTCACTTTCCTGGAAAGTGACTCTGCTTTGCAGCAGCCTTGGGTCTGGCGTGTGTGTCCCAGTAGCTTCACGTTGGCCCAAAGTGTCTGTGCCCAGGCTCTTTCAGACAGTTGCCTGGGCGTGCAGCATAGAAGTGCGTCAAACCACCCAGGCTCGCTGTGAGGTGTTCCCTGCTTGCTGATTGGCCGAGAGACCAGCTTCCACGTCCATCTCTGAAAGGGCCTAGAAGGCTAACAGGGAAGATTCCAATGCTCTCGAGATGTGCCTGAACGACCAACTGTTGCATGGTAACTGTCAGGCGCCCAAGAATGCAGAAATGGTGAAAATGGGGGCCCGTATGAAAATAAGGCCCGCCTTCACTTAGGGCGGGCACGCTGCATGCTAGGGGCCCCTTGGGCATCGGGAGCCTGCAGCGTAGCGGCCTTTGTGAGGGCTAATTCCTTGCAAATGGTTTTAGGTTCTCTATGGGGGTTTCAATTTAGTGCTTGGGCGTCGATGGAACAAAGTAAATCAGATTTCCCTATACTACTGAAGGAATACTACTAAAGGAAACAGCGGTCCTCGCGTGGGGCCCAACAGAAACCAGGCGGCTCCGCGCGGGACCGGTAACAGCCAGCGGGGAGGGCGGAACCGGTGGAGCCAAGTGCGGATCCGCGTCGTTTCGTTTCGGCCTTACGGCCTCGCTACAGTACTCTCTTTTTTTGTCGTTTTGTGGGTTGCCCGCTCCTGTCGTTTCGTTTCGGCCTAGGACCTCGCTGCACTACTCTCTTTTTTGTCGTTTTGTGGGTTGCCCGCTCCTGTCGTTTTGTTTCGGCCTAGGACCTCGCTGCACTACTCTCCGAATGTGCAAAACGAGACTGAATCCACCGCTACACTACGGAGAAATACATTGCCATCTTTTTTCGGTCGTGATCTCTCCGCATGTGCAAAACGAGATTGAATCCACCGCTATAGGACGGACAAATACATTGCCATCTTTTTTTGCGTCGTGAAAGCTCAGGGCGGTGGTGACGAACGGGGTGACTGGGGGGGGTGCGGGGAGGTGGGGACCGGGCTAGTCGACGAGGGGAGGGACAACGCGAGGAGCAAACGAGGGACCAGCGCAAGGGGGGGGGGGGCACACAGAGACAGAGACAGAGAGAGAGAGAGAGAGAGAGAGAGAGAGAGAGAGAGAGGGAGAGGGAGAGGGAGGGAGAGAGAGAGAGAGGCAGAGAGAAAGGGAGAGTGGGCATTGGTGCGGAATTGCAATTTCCTTTTTTTTTTTTTTTYTYTTTTGGTCCCCGCCGCTGTCGCGGCGGGCATTCCTCTTGTAGTATTAAAAATACAAAAAGTTTATAGATCCCAAGGTGTATGTGTATGTGTATGTGACAAACATATAGAAATAATTGTTCGTCAAATGACATCTAAAATAATAATATTAGGTAATATTAGTTGAGATTCCTAGAGCCAAAAGGACTAATCTATAATGTTTTGCAAAATTACAAGCCTATTTTGGTGGGAATAACAAGAGCATCATTAAATACTCGGTAGTTTTATATCAGAAGCCTCATTCCAAGAAACACGGCGGTCCTGCCTTGCTACTCACTCAATATCCACAGATTACTCTCTCTCACTCTCCCTTTCTTCTCTGTCCACACTCTCCTCGCCAAAAATGCTGAAGAGGCTGACCACCTTAAGTGTTCTGTTTAGCGATCGCCAGCTAAGTCAACCTGTTCCAATTGCTGTCCTTGTCCCCTGATCACCTTAGCAGCAGCTCCTCTTCTTTCTCCTTGGCGCAGCTATGGCTGCTGCCAAGCAGAAGCAGTTACCGGGGGCTGCTCCTCTCCTTCTCCTTCTGTTCAGGGTCCTCACAGTCTGTGTTTGTAGAAGAGCTAGCTCTGGGAGCCAGTGCGTCCAAATGTGTGGAATGCCGCAGCCTCCTCCTTGTCTCTTCCTGGAGTCTGCGGCAGCCCAGCTGGTACCGGGTTCCTCTCAGTCCGGGAACCTTCTGAGGGCCTCTGGACTGGGTACCTTGGTCTCAGCCTCCACAACTAACTGGGAGAGTGGGCCTACTGGGAGAGCTGGGGGGGCTGCATCGAGCATTCCTTCCGCCTGACCCACGCCAGCCTAGACCTGGTGGATTTTTGCATACCTGACCTTCACTTAGGGCCGGCTCAATTGTGCATGAGAGGCACCTACTGGGTGCCACTGAGTCAATTTTGCGCGAGAGGCTGGTACCGGGTGCTGCAGAGGCCTGAAACCTCATATTTGCTGTGAAGTCTTACTTGGCGGTACTGGGTGCTGCAGAGGCCTGAAACCACATTGATGGGATTGGGGCATTGTCCGTGGCATGACTGTCATGCCCTTCTGAGGTCCTTGTAGACCTTTCAAGTCTCTCCCCAATAAGAGGTTCGGCATCTCTTAGGACTGCCTGATGCAGCCTTGGGCAAGGCAAAAGGGTGTCCGTTCCGGGACCGGGCTGTTGCCTCTATGTGCCGTGCTAAGTGCAGGTTTCTGTGGCCGAATATGTCTAACGAGGTGTTAGGAACCCTCATTCATGTTCAAGAAGAGGTAGTTTTACATTGCATGTCCCTTTTTGCTGGCTTATGAGGATATGTTGGACGCTTGTGTGGGGACTCTAGAGTCTAGTGACATTTTTTGTCTCAGCTCTGCTGAACTGAAACCTTTAACTTTTCGTAGGAAATAAAGTGAAAGCTGGAAAGGGGGTCCATAGTCCCTTGCAGGGGGTACACTGTACGCTTTTGTTGGATATCGACGAGACAACACTGCTGATTGCTTCCTTGCAGAGGTTACACACTCTTCGCTTCTGTCTGGTATGGACGAGGCAACAGTGCTGATTGCTTCCTTTAGTGGGAAGGATTTATCACTGCTCTGCCCCTGTGACTCTTATCTTTGATCAATTTGACTTTCCTCTGTGTTTTCAGATCTGGATGGTCCTAGTTACTCTGCAAACTTTGGATCGAGTCAGGTGTCCAGTATTATTTGTTATACCACAATTACTCATCGTCAATTTTTATCTCAGCTCTGCTGATAGTTAGAAGGTAGTACATGCTCAATTGCACTTTCCTCTATGTTTTTTTTGTCAAAATGGGATGGTTCTGATTAACCGGCAAACTCTGGATCAATTTGTGCAGCGCCATTTGTTCTATCGGAAATTGTCGTTTGTTTTGGTAATAAACGCGAATTCTTTCAAATCGGGTGCTTGATTTTTTTACCAGGATCTTGCAAGATTGAAAGAAGATGCTGAAGCTGTCAGGAGTGTGGTATCTCGGGGAATGGAGCAAGTGAAGGAGGCAGTCATGGCCCATGAAGAGAACGGGGCACAGTCTTTTGCTGGCATATGCGATGCACATAGGGGTTATGCAGAAAATATTGAGAGGGTGAGAACATTTTTTTGTGTAATGGAGTATTGCATGAAACCTATGTAATGCAGCTTGCACATTGCGGGAATGGGTTTGGATATCACCGTGAAGCTGTAGCCATGCACTGGTTTAAGGATATATTAGAATGGTCGAGGTGGACTCTTCTGCATGTTTCTTCAGAGAATAGGGTAGGATGTATCAGCGCTTTGGGATATCATGATGAAGCGTATTTGTGTCAGTTAAGCCAACAGAGAATGTCAAGCGTGAAATGGGTCAAGTCGAGTACGTTAGATCTGAACTGGTGCAGCTTGTGAGTATCATGCATAGCCGACGTGCGGTGGCTTGAGACTCTTGCTTTGACGTATGCTGCTTCACCACCCAACTAGTTTTAGAAGTTCATCATTATCTGGCTTCCTTTGTTTGAGCACGATTCTCAAGTGTTACCGTGTTCGTTTGTGGCCTTGACTTTCCCAGTCTTATTCCCCATAACATGGTTCTTGTTAACAACATTGATCTTGAAACCTTGGCTAAGGTTTTATTTCAAGTTTCATCACAATTGCTTCGATTAGATAGCTTTCCCTCCACCTTCAGCCAGGAGGCGTTCACATCAATAGGGTTGCGAAGTCGGTGCTATGTGATTTAGTTACCAGTCTATCATTATTCTGACCTCGTTGGGGCTGTGTTGGTTGGTCTTGGGCAATGCCGAACAGGTGGTTGCTGATGCTGTTACGCAGGCTGAGAAGACAATTGGATTGTTGCGATCAGCAATGGAGGATCAGGCAAGGGAAATGACATTGTTTGTCAACCAACAGAGAGAGGTGAGAAACAAAAAATCCGCGATGCTACTTCTCGTACTCTGACCTGTCCCCAGTCTGTTGTTAGGTTGTCATTAGGGGCACAAACCAATGTCCATCAATTTGTGATTATCATTGCAAGGTCGACATACGTAGAGGGGAAGTGGCTGTTTCGCAGATGTAGAAAATGAGAACGATGATGAAGTCTTCCTGGCGGGCTCACCCTGACCACATCTCTGCGTTAGCTGGTGCTGCACCGCAGATAGCTAAGTGGACAACTGGCCTTTTGTAGCCATGAGGAATCTCTGGACAAACTCACATCAGCCCTTGTTAACAGTGCGGCACTGCGCATAGCTGTGCGAGGTACCAGTTTGGTTTAATTGCGGCCTGCAGCACATTGGGGCGTTTTGAGCCATGGCAACTTTCAGATGGGAAAGTCAAGCCACTTATGGAAGGAAGGAGGGGCTCTTGATTTGACAAATGGAAGTGAGGCAGCCATGAGGAATCTCTGGACAAACTCACGTTAGCCCCTTGTTAAAGGTGCTGAACTGCGCATAGCTGGGCGAGGTACCAGCTTGGTTTAATTGCAGCCTGCAGCACATTGGGGCGTTTTGAGCCATGGCAACTTTCAGACGGGAAAGTCAAGCCACTTACGGAACGAAGGAGGGGCTCTTGATTTGACAAATGGAAGTGAGGTGGCACTTCAATGTTTTACAGCTTGTGATGTACAACGGTGAGGGCTGTTGAATAATTCACCTGTTTCACAGGACTTTCAGGGTTCATATACGGCTGTGGCATGCACGGTTCCCACATGGACAGCTGCAGGGCCGAACAGTAGGATCAGGGGACACACGGGGTTCTATGGGGATCAGGGGGTTTTCTTGGAGATGTCCACGGGCCTGTACTGGGTCTGGTCGCAGCCTGTGTCGTTTTGGACCGTTGGTTAGTAGGTAGTCCAGGGCCTGTGTTAGGGCCCAGTCCGGTTCAGGCTGCAGTCCGTTTTAGGACCTCATTAGGCCTTGAGCATACCTGTTGGTTTAGGCGCCAGTCTCAGGGATGGTTCCGGTCAGGTGCCACTTTTCGTATGCCTAGCGCGGTTGGGTTAGGCGCCGGTTTAGTTTTGGCGCCAGGTCTGTTTCAGACACCGGTGCACTTTCACACTGGTTGAGGCAGCCTCCCAGTCGGACCAGCATTATTTATAGCTGGGCCGACAGGTAGAAGTAGGTAGCGTTCAGCAGTAGTGTTAGTCGACGCTGGGGGCTATTAGTTTGGTTAATCTACAGCAGCATCAGCTAGAAGCATCGAGCTTGGAGCTGCAGTACGCTGCAGCAGGTGAGTGGAGTAGAGGTTGGCGGAGGCCAGGGGGCTTACCTGATGACCTACCTGTGACGCCATAGCTCCAGCTTCGTCTTCAGCATGTCTGTACCTGCATCAAGGCGCCACCTTTCTGCAGGTTAGTACCTGGGATTGCACAGACACACA